GCAGGCCCTGAACAGCTGACTCAAGAGTCACTGTGGTTCACACACATTGGTTACACATGACCAACACAGATCGACTAATAGACTCTACAAATACGGATTATTAAATCCTTCACGAATTAGAAATATTACTTCTAATTGTTTTTACCTGTGACTAGATTCTACTGCTGTCCCTTTTACATAATTAAAGACATAATTGATTACATGATAAATTCCATTTAAGATCTAACAACTCATCAAGTATAGCTATTCATCAATCAAGCATACTTGATTCAACTACCATCTTCTCATGCTGCCTCACAAGCATGATTGACTGACATCAGCTGACATTGATAACATCAACATAACCTCAAAGCAACACAGCAATATCCAAAGAAGCCTTTATAGCAGAAAAATCACAAGAACACATATTTTGAATAATCCAACAAAATATTTATTTCTACACAACAGTGCAATATTATTATAATCGTTTACACTCATTAAACCTTGTTTTAAAATAAATATATTATATTTTTCAGCCTTGTCCGTTATTGATTTCCTTTAAAAATTATCCTGCCGAGAGACTAATCCACTGAACTATTGAATTGGCAGTTCGAGCCAAAAGCTAACCCCTTTAAATCTGAACATTTGGTCCTTCGAGCCGGATAGTCTCATCGTCAGATAATAAATTGAAGGAATACAGTGGACGATCAAGGCCCATATTGCCATACTAAGTCTGCCAATCGAATAGAAGGCAATACATCCAAGGGGACATTCCATTTATTACATAAATCAATAAAGAAAAAAGACAGTAAACACAGGATAGAAGCCAAAGGGTCAGGAATGTCAAAGGCAAGAGCCACCTCTCTTCGAAGCTCAACAGCTACCCGATCAAAATCTGAATTTACAGCAAGATTGAATGATCAAACCGAACGTATATAAATGTTACAGAGTCTTGCTAAGAAGTATGCAGTGTCAGACCCTGATACCACTGAAGAAGAACTATCAGATGCCTTTTCACATGCCAAAAAGATTCACAAGGCCTTTAATAAGGAACATGCATACCTACGAACAATCTGGCCCACTGAGCGAGACACTGAAAACAGCATTCCTACTAAAATGTTATTAACCGAATCATTCCAATTTGTAACGACACGAGGGATTCTCAGCAGGCTTCGCCAAAAATTCAAGATCGAGTGCAATGAGCAACAGCCCACACTACATCCGGTAAGAACACATGGAAGTCGACTGCCAACA